AGAGGCAAGGAAACAGGGAGCATCCCAGACTTTCAATGCAAAGCAAAAGGAAACGAAGCACCACTGCGAGAGCTGCCTTCCTTGCATGCTGTACCAACTGGTGCCAGCCTGGGTTCCGATTATGAAGGCATTATGAGCTGCCCGCTACAGACCTGGGTGTTGACTGCTTTCCTTTCTCTCCTGCTTTGTCATTCAGGTGAGGAGAGTCTCTTTTGGCTTAGGGCCCTCCAACTTTTACTTCTCTCCTTTTATTTTATTTTATTTTATTTTGCATGGCATTGGGATGGAAGGAAGCCCAGGGGTGGCAAGCCACAGTATCCAGGCAGGATGGAGCTGACAAAAGGAGTGGGATTTTCAGTGCCTGCCTGCATCTCTCCAATTGCTGGCTGGGAGCATCCTGTTCCACCTTTTACCCTCTTTCCAAATAAATGCATGCTCTGGTGCCTTACTCCACCTTGCCTTTTTGGAATGGGGGCATGTGGGGCGAGAGGCTGGTGGGAATCTGCTGCTTACAAATGCCCCTCTCTTTTATTTTCTGGACATCCATATACTCCCTGGGCACAGGTTTCTACACCCACCCTGCCAAAGCTGGGACTGCAGCCTTTTCTGCTGCATAGACACATTTTTCTGCAGCTCCTTCCAGCCTAAGGTGGAGATGGAGCAACAGCTGTGGTGGAAGAGCTGCAAAACATTGGTCTGTTTTGCCAGGGAACTGTGGGGTTGGGATGATGGTGTGTGTATATGTGAGTGAGTGAGTGAGTGAGTGACAGTGGTCCCCCCCCCATCCATATAGCCCAGACTTACTCTTTTTTAAGGGAAGGTAGGGTTCCAGGTGGATTAGGGTCTCACAAGGCATCCAGATGGCAGAAATAATCTGGGTTGACCCCACTATAACTGCCATGGCTCCATGCTATGAAATTCTGGGAATTGTGGTACCAGAGCAGAGCTCCGCTCTGGTGCCTCAACAGTTGTAGTGGTGTCAACCCAGATTATTTCTGCCATGTGGAAGCAGCCAT